ATCCACTGCAGTACATATAGTTATAACAGACTTTTAAAATGTCTTACCTTGGTTCCATAACGCTATCGACTCGCTTTGAGGCTTTATGACAAGGTTTCAAAATAAGTCCAAATTACAAATAGGTAGTTATTTTCTGACCGTACAGCTAAGCTAAAGAGAGCTGAATGCTAACCGGCTGTCCCAGACACGGAGAGGTGCTTCGGGGCAGAGAGAGAAAGAGAATAGCGCTGAAGTTTGGACAGAGAGGAGAGGCGTAGACTGTTCCCTCGCTCCGTCATCTCATCCACACAGCCCGCTGCGATCAACCACATCAGCATGCTGCCTTCAGGGCCACCCGGGAAAAATATACTCCGGTAATCGCAGTCTATACCAAAAGCTGCAAATTGATGAAAACATTTGTAAATAAATGTAGTATTACTTGATATATTAATCCAAAATTACTTTAATTTTTCTGAAAAGATCTCCACTTCCATAAAATTAATCATAGAGTTCCTATGTTTGTTTTTGCTAAGCATTGTTGCCACGTTGGACGAAACAGTTTGAAACCACTTGGTGTTGAAATTAACAGTACACAGTGGTGAAAGAAGTACGAACATATTTTAATTAAGTAAAAATAGTTATATCACAGTGTAGAAATACTATTTTTCAACTTAAAGTCCTGCATCAAAAATGTTACTCAGGAAGATAAAGAACCAAAGTATTAGCCTAAAGTACCAGCACTACTGTGTACATCATTTTAATTAGGGAGCTAGCTTTAATGACTTCTTGTACTTCCAGATATTCTAATCCATAATGGTACATCATATTTCATGAGTTGATTAATTGATTTTGAATTAACAATATGAACCTACAAAGTCATTAATAATGTTATATATAAATGTAGAGGAGTAAAAAGAACAAATATGACTCCAACTTTGAGTGGAGTAGAAGTGAAAATTAGCAGAATCAAATTACTCAAGTAAAGGGCGCCTACCTCAAAATTGTACATAAGTACAGTGCTTGAGTAAATGTCCTTAATTACTTTCCATAGTACACAATGTACTGTGGTGGTAAACGTACTGATGTGTTCCCTATTGGTAATCAGTTGCTTACATAGTTTAAATGTTTTCTTCCGTTAAGCGAACTAGTCACATTTACATTACAGACTTGTGTATGTGCTTGATTCTTGTATTCCCAACAGCATTTGAAGGCAGCACTGGAGGCAGCCAAGAGGCAAGCCTGTGTTTACACCTACACAGTGGGAAATATCCCTTTACACTGAACACACACACATGATACAAACACACTGAATTCTCTTCTTCTCTGCCATAACAACATACAGGACGGCCTTCACTTGGCTCTAAATAAGCGTTCCCTCTGAGGGGCCCCTTCCCCCTGAAAGCATTATCTTGTTAATTCCTTAACTAGAGTCTCGAAGCACACAAGTCTAAATAAAGTCAAACTAATTTGTTGTTGGTCCAGAATCACAAGACTGGAGTCGGACTTTTCCACTGCATGTGATCACCTAAAAATGTCACACAAAGACAGACATTTCTTATTAATGATCCTCAAATGTCTCTTTACACGTAGGTTCTGATAGTTAACTTTTTCACAAAAAGCAAAGTATTAGACCAACATTTAAAATCATAAACACAAAGTTGTGTATCCTTAATTCCTTACTCTCTTTCCCCTACCACATGAATCATCTGGAGATCATCCAGACTTCTCTCTATCCCTTAGGATGGGTAACCACAGGACAATACTCACGTTATATACACATGCAAAAAACTTGATGCATTAGTATTTGCAATATAATAATGTCATAACCCTTTGTTTGCTGAAACATTACTTTTATTTTACCAAACAAAAGTACTTCTGCTCTTACTTAATGGAGTATTTTAATTTTACTTAGTTTTATTTTTTTTTTTTTTTTAAATGAGTAAAGAAACTGAACAATTATTCACTGTGCATGTCCCATGTGTATGTAATGTTGTACTCTATGAAATAGTTTTCCACCCTAAAATCATCCAGCAATCATTCCACATACTGGGGATATGTCTGTATGTGTCCTCCACTATCACTTACAGAGCAGAAACAAGCTGGAGAGGTCAATTCTGAACTACTAATGATATACAGGAGCTGTAATAGATAGCATACGGTTCAATAAGCAAGTTCTCCCCTCTAATTCATTCGTCCACTTTGCATACAGTGAAGTTTGGTTTCAGAGACAGTGAAGCAGTGTATGCCTTTAGTACAGAGGACCAATAGGGATGTGCTATAAGACACCAGTCAACCATACAGGAAGTAGCTACTAGCTACTGCCCTGACGTCATAAATCGTAAAACAGCATGAGAGCATTCTGTTAGATTAAGGATCATTAAGCTGCTATTTTGCAAGGATGTGAATATAATCTGTTTTTCACTGGGATGTGGAAAGAAGGAGGAAGTGGTTTTAGTAGCTGCGATCCAAGTCCAATTCACAGGAGCGGCGCGCCATGCTGTCTGAAACTAGTTGTAAATCCAAATTCCTACCTATTGTAAAAATGTCTGTAAGCTTTGTAGCTTTGCAACAGGACAATACTTAATCTTTTGTTTAAGTAATGAGTAATGACTTATGCAACAGATTTTTTATAATGATGCAATACAGTAGTAAAGCAACTATGGACATTATATAGAAAACATTTTGCAAGAAGGAAGTAAAGGTGTTAAATGATATGTACACATTGAGTTATTGTCTTTATTAGGATCCCCATTAGCACTAGCATGAGCATTGGCTATTTTTCCTGGGGTCCTCACAGCTCACACACTCAAGAGTTCTTGAGAGTTGTTCACTTCCCCACACAAAGGTGCGGCCTACAACAACAGTGTCTTATTGAATCTACAGAGCAACAGGTTACAGGAGGCCTTGGCTGGTTTCACGGCCCGGAGCTTAAGCACCAGGAAATGATCGGAGATCCTCGGGAACAGGAGGACAACTATGACTCTGTCACGCACATTCTCTCTCCATTTCCCCTCCTCTCTCCTTCACATCGCCAGCTGTCTTGGCTCATGTATGCTCACAGCTGCACAAATCACAGGTCCCCAGGCATGACGAAGGCCTGCAGTGAGGGGGGGGGGGCAGAGCTACATCTGGCTCAGTGACTGTTGTGCTGCCTGGAGAGGAAGGAAGGGTGACTGTCCATTTCATCAAAAGCTCACAACTCTTTATTTTCATATTGATGTCAACAGAAGAGTCTGAAGAGAGTTCCACTGCAACCAGAGAAGGGAGAAGTACTCAGAGTACCAGAGTGTAGCAATACTATGGTTAAAAGTAAAAGTCCTGCATTCAAAATGTAACTCACGTAAAAGTACTAAAGTATTCTCATCAAAATATAGTTAAAGTAGCGACAGTAAAAGTAGTCATTGTGCAGATTGCTCCATTTCAGAATGATATATATGATATGTTTTATAATGATTGATCATGAAAGTGTTCTCAAAGCTGTTAAAGGTGCAGCTAGTTTGAATGACTTTGTATACTAAAGGGTAGCTTGTGAATTTACTCCAGGTGGAACTAAAGTGTGATTTAACACTTGGTTATATTTCACATCATTCATCCACATCTGTAAAGTAACTAAAGGTATTAAATACATGTAGTGGAGTAAAAGTACACCATGTACCTCTGAACTGTAGTGGGGTAGAAGTACAAAGTAGCATAAAATGGAAACACTATAATTTGCAGATACTTGTAGTTTACTTGAGTAAATGTACTTAGTTACGTCCCACCTCAGACTGCAACACAACACACACATGGACCGAATGACTCCTGCTTCTATTCTATCGTCTCCGTTTTAATTGGAGCAGTGCAGCATGTTAACAATTTCCATAGTTTTGCCTAAAAACAGCAAAGGTTAGTGGTGAGCGGAGTGGATCGAGGGCAGAGCAAACAGATTTTCCAAAGCCGTGCGGCTCCCTGCAGGAATGTGCTCTTTCAGTCACCATGGAGAGGGAGACAGAGATTCTTACTGTTGCAGGACAAAGCTTAACGCTCAATGGATGGATTTACAGGCCCCCTCATTGTAAAAGGATTAAATAAATCAAGGCCGGTCGAGACCTAGCACCACGGCGGGGGAGCCGCGCGCCCCTTCAGTCGCCACCGAACAGACACACAGACAAACACAGCTGGCCCCCGTCCACAAACACCCAACATTCAGCGGCTTTGAGAAACGCTGTAGTAACCTGGCTCAACCCTGAACTCATTTGCGTACACCTTTTGGGGTGAAACAGAAGAAAAAAAACTGCGGGCTGGAGGGATACAATTGTTCTCTTTGTAGAGCGACATTTGAAAAGTGGGGTTTCATTTTTACACCACTGCATCTAATCTTGAAACTTTTAAATATAGGTTTTTTTAGTCTTGGAGAAGCAGCGTTCAGTTATTATGCTCCATATCTCTGGAACATACTCCCAAAGACCTCCGCTGTAACTCGCCTCTTTTAAAACAAGACCCACGACTTTTCGTTTTGTAAAGCCTTGTGTTGAAAAATGCTTATATAAATAAACTTGCCTTGCCTTCTACAAACAGATGCCATCAAATGCCTGAAACAAATAACGTGTTATATGAAAAAAAGAAACAAGAAAAATACCACTTGTTTCATTACACACACCTTTTCTTAGATAGATGTTTTGTAATTTAATTAAGGAAAGTTCACACCAACACACATACTAGAAAAAAAACGGCTATTTTCACAGCACAGTCACAGGCATGCATACTCAGACGTGGCTGTTGTCTTATTGGTCCACCGACAGAGTGTGGGGATAATGTGTTAAAGGTCAGGGACGGGGCAAAATGTGAGCAGTCCCTCTGTTGTAAAGTAACACCAAAAAGTGTACAAAGTTCTCCTGAGTGAAAAGTGAAGCCTTTTCCCAATCTTCACAAATACATACTATGTTAGGGTGGGAACAGTGCAAACACATCCCTCAAGTTGTGTAGTTTGTGGTTGGTTGGGGGGGGGGGCAATGCAGCACACCAAAGGATTTTTTGTCTACCTGAACTTAGGCTGTAGTGGTTTAGCGGGTCGGCCACCCATGCATTGTCCTGAATTACACTCTCCATCTCCAAGTCTGCATGCAGCCCGATGGACAGATGGCCCCACAGACAGATGGATGGATGGATGGTGGAGACATGAGAGAGTCGGCAGGGGAGAGAAGCACTTCAAGTTAGAGAACAGAGCAAATGTGTACTGTGATGATGCTAGAGCAATAAACATTGCAGAATAAAATGTTTAGCACTGCAGTATTCTTGGCATTCATCAATAAAGGGGAATTTAAAGTTATAATTCTGAAGACACTCATGAAATCAAACCCTGTTTTTAGTACTTTTAATGGTATGCATTTTTTCAGCATTATCAAAGCAGTGTATTTACATTCTGTGTAATCCAGGATTATTGTTTATAATTTGATCGGATTGATATCAGTGTCATTGTTTACTGTTGACACTGCATCATAGCTAATGCGAAGTAACATTTCACAGAGGGCACACCTTCAGACTGTCAACAAGCTAACCCACAATGTGGAACATAAAATCAGCTGCAGGTTGCTAATAGCTGGAATTAAAAGGGTAATTACTGTCCAACTTCCATATCATCATAATGCAAATGTTTAGGCGCTACTGTAAAGAAATGTAACAGTTGCTCTTATGTTGGATATATGACAAATAAGCTGTTCATTTATTGTTTTCTGACCCCAGAATTCTGAAATCTTAACCTGCAATTGCTGTTAATACTGGTAACCATACATCAACCGGGCCTAAATCTTAAGGATTATAACTTTAATTGCATCCAAACTCAGATAAGCAATATGTCGTACAAGTCTAAATGTGGAAAATGCATTTTTGTGTGTGAGTGAAGGTTGAGTGAGTGGACAGGTGGTGAATGGAGTGTGTATACCAACACGCACAGGGAGGGAAGAGACTCCAAGAAGCAGGCTGCAGGCCAGAGCAGGGGGAGGCTGAGGCAGAGGAGTCACAGTCAAATGCAACCAATCAAGACACATGCTAATGCTACGGTACATCCAACAGCAGGATTAATGAAGCGTCGCAGTGGAGAACACACAGGCAGCTCAAACCAAATTACAGTCAGTTATGTGTTCTGCTGCTGATTATAAACTAGATGCAGGATGTGCTCATTTAGAGCCATGTTGGTATAACTGATAACACCTGCAGGTTATAGAAGATTACATATTACACTGGTTATGGCTAACAACATATTACTGATTGAACATAGTTAAAAGGACATGACGACTTAATAATACATGTAAATACTAATGAGCTATACAACAGAAAAACATTTATGTTTACTTATAACTATAATAATATTCCTCACCTGCGAATACTCAGTAAATAAAGAATGCATGATTAACAAATTAAGAACACATGCAAAAATACAAACAGAAAAAGCAGAAGCATTGGGTCATTGCTCAGCAGCGGGCAGTGGGGAGTGGGGGGGAAGGTTGAGTGGGGGCCTGTCTGCGGATTGTGCTGTGCGTGCACTGTAACAGTAAACACAGCGTTCCAACCTGCATTTGAAACTGGATTGGCACGTCCAACAGGACCGAAACCCTGCTAAGGATATTCTGTCCCTCACAAAAGTGGATTCTTGCAGGGGGTGGGTTTATGTTCGCCGTGTCATCACTTAATGTGGACCCCGGAGTCTCAGAGGCTTTTTGATGGGGAGGAACCCTGGCTCCACGCGCTCACCCCAAAGCCAGCGGGTTCTTGTGATAGTGAGTCATATTGTAGGATCAGTCTTTGGATCAGAAGACACGGGACTGGTACAACACACTGGGGTCGATCTGACTCACTCACAGTAAACATGACAGACATTCCAGGTGTTGTTCCAAGAGGGTTTATGTTAAACATATGTCTTAGATTATTATTGATAATCTTGATACAGATGATGTATTGTGATTCAGTTCTAAGAAAAAAAGTGAAAACCTTGAGCATGGATCTGTGAATAAGTTGAAGTTTGGGAAATACTTCCAGGGAATTTCACCCACTCAAAATGATGATATGTTGAGTAAAGATGATAAACTTAATCAAATAAATACCCTATTGAGCTCTTTTTAAATACAAACTGAATTCCACGACACAGATCATTTAGACCAGTGAAATATTTGTTGGCAAGGTGTATCTCTCAAACACACTCTCACGCACTGACAAACACACGCACACACCAAGCCGTATCGCATTACCAGCCCTCAGTGATAATGTATTTCCAAAACATTTCCTTACAATGGATAAAGAGGAGGAAGAGGAGGAAGAAGAGGGGGATACCTGGTTTTGGCACAGTGTTGGTCATGGACTGCGGCACTTTATCATTTATGAGCTCCACACACTCGCTGGGAAAGAAGCCAACCTGGAGAGGGAAGAGGAGTGAAAATGAAGTCAGCTGGGAGGAAATAAAATCTTATTTAGAAATCATAATAAAGATAGAGAGAGGACAAGAATCCTATGCTCAGTGGTGGTTGTCATATACATCATATGGTTGTGTTATTAAACTGTGACAGAGACAACATTTAGGGCTTGGTATGGACATTTACTTTTCATGTGGTGTGAAAATGACCGCATCACACATGTTCAAACTACCGGTAAGTGTATCTGTGTACCTGCTGCTCTAGAAAATAGCAGTTTGGTGCTGATGATTTGGTGATTTCTTAAAAACCCTATATCAAATAAGACAGCCGAATCAGAGTTTTCTGGACTTTGAACGGAAAAAATCTGTTAGAAATGTTTTACGATGGAAATTCTGAGCCGATGAAGCACAGTGTCAAATGTTACAAAAGCAGAAAACCACTACCCTCACTGACCCCCTCTAACGGATACAGGTGGTACAGCAGGTGTTTGTGTGTGTGTTGGGCATTTCAGTTAGTTCCCCAACTCACAACGGCATAGGTTTAGCTTCCACACAGGTCCAAGGCTTTTATTGGTCATACGTGCATAGCTACAGTGTAGTTATGACGATGAAAATCTTAGGTCACAGGCTCACTCCAACAGTGCAACACAATAAAACAGAAATAAAATTGTGCAAGTAAATAGTAATACAAAAGAAAAAAATGTAAAAAAGTGAAATATTGAAAAAGTGCAATAAGAGTCTATATATAAAAGTGATTAGAATATGATATATTAGACACAGGACACACACTGGGTTTAAAGTGTGTCTCCCCTGAAAAAAAGTCCTGTACTGTGGTCAACTTTTATGAGTCAATGTATGGTGGAAATGTCGCAATGTGCATTATTTGGGGGGTTGGGTCCCCTGTAACCGCCCCCCCCAAAAAGGTAAGGCTACACAAGGGTGCTTTCTCCATGTCTCTGTATATTTAGAGGCAGAAGCTGTGTGATCCTAAAGAGGGCAGTGGTCTCCAGCCACTGACCACTCATCTGACAAATAAGTGGAGTACCAGTAAAGTGCTCCCAGTGAGCCTGACTGGCAGCACTACTTCTTGAAGGCAGTGAGCCAAAACACAAGAGGAGCTGGGGCAGGATGGAGAGGGTGCAGCGGCGGGTCAACGGAGGTTCAGCCTGACATGAGCATCGAACCAGGTCACTGCAGTAAATAGATTCAGTTTGGAAAACATATCATCTGTACACCAAGGTCTTCAAAGACTCAACTAGTTCAAGCCCCTGACGTTGAGGGAGAGGGCCTCTATTGTTGACCCCCCCTCTGAAACTCTCCCCCCTCAGACCATCAGACTATATAAAGCTTTTAATCTGTGATTGCTGCTACTGTTAGCAAGGAAGCGGATCAGAGTGGAGTCGGCTTCTCTGACTAACCTGTTGATCATTTTTGAGATGATCAAGCTCAGCAAATAAATGACACAAAGAATCTTCAAAAAGTCTCATCCTCACATCTTAGCATAGTAGGATTCACAGAGAACAAAGAGGACAGATGTCTAATTGAATCAAAGTGGATATCATCCAAAGTCAGTCTTTTTATGAATTTGCTCTTTGTGTTCCCCTGGACTCTGCTTAGTGGGGATGGAATTGTGTTCTTACAAGACTGACACTTTGGATGATACTCACTTCGTTAGTCTTACTAAATAGTGGTGAAGTCTTATGTTATTCTCAAACACAATTCTGTGTCAGAATAAATCAAATCTGTGACAGAAAAATATAGCCATAAGCTTCAAAATGAATCAATGTGTCTGTCTTCCTAAAAAGCAAAAGAATGTCTTGCAATACCACAAATGCTGCTCCCTTTATGTGCTTTACATCTCTGGAGGCCCACTTAGTAAGTCTGGCTGACTGTTAGCGTTTTTTTTTTTTATATAACTCAACCTGAAGTCCTAAACAGCCCTAGTTTCACTGTGTTACAGGATGGGACTGAAGCCCGTGAACATGAATCAGTCCAACCTGTTATCTGCTCACAGGCTTTGTCTTTCAACACACTCTGACTATTTGAAATCTGTTTTACAAAGCATATTCTCTTCTCGTCCTTGAAATACCTCAATTGCAAAGCTAATCAGAAGTTGACAGCGAGAAAAAAGCCAGAGAAAGATGAAGCGTGTGTGTGTGTGTTTGCTCACAGTCTGCATAGTGTTCTGTGAAGCTGCGTACCTGAAAGCCGTGCTTGCCCCTCCACCATGTGGTGTCTTCTTTAGGGGGCATGTCAATCACTGACACAATGTCCCCAACCTGCACAGAGGGGAAATATTAGAAAGTGCTGATTGTCCTTTTACCTTTTGTTGGAAGAAGACATCAGTGATGACTACAATGAAAGGCCTGTATGTAGCCAGGCTTTACATTTCAACTGAAAGAGTATCTTTTAATAAAGGATTGTTCTGAGCAAAATTATTTGTGTAGTGTTAAGTGTATAACAATAAAACATTAGAGGAAAAAGCATAAATCATAAATTATAAAAGAGAGTATTATAAAATATATGGTATAATGCAATATACTCCGGTTTAATAAATGAAGAGCTAAAACAGTTTGGACCGTTTTAACATAAGTATTTGAATGACAACTTTATTTTACTGGCAGTTATTTCTTTTTTAAATATCCGCAAGGTTTTTTAATAGAATCTCTATATATATCTGTAGACAGAGACACAGAGAGAGCATGTGGGCTATTTTTATTATTTGTACAACACTTTGGCTCGACCAAAAATCGTTTATAAATGTGCTATATAAATAAAGCTTGATTTGATTTGATGTGTGCTCCCCTGTGTGTGTGTGTGTGTGTGTGTGTGTGTGTGTGTGTGTGTGTGTGTATGTGTGTGTATGTCACCTCGAAGGACAGCTCGTCTGAGGCCTGGGCGATGTAGCGCTTGATGACGTGCGCAGCAGCAATAGCCGGCACGTTGATGGACGACTCTTCATGAACCAGCAGGTGATTTCCCTTATTGTCAACCTGATACACACACACAGGAAAAACACACACTGCATTCAATAATGGATGGTGGCTATCATCTGACTTAGAAAAGATCATGACCAAGTACGTCATGCCTGTCTGGAATTAAATTGAATGTTTACAAGAAATATAAATGTACAAGTAACTATGAACAATAGAATATCACATTTACTCTGAGTATACAAAATGTGCAGTGAATCAGAATTTAAAGCGGCGGAGCTGTGCAGATATAAAAGACGCGGCATTGAACAAAAATGGGCAATGTACACAGAGGAAGTATGGAATATAAGGAATGGCTCGTATGATGTCCTTTTATGTCTGTTTGGTGTGTCTGTGTCAACTGGCGCATTGACCTAAGCGCATTTATATTTTGCCACATGAATAATTGTAATCAGACGCAAACAAAGGGCAAACTGGTATCTTCCAAACCTTTTGGCCGTGTTTGCACTTTATGTTAGAATATGTTTTGTGCATTGGACCTTACGACAGGGAGATAGCTGTTACAACTGGATTCTCAATTAATTGAGATATGCTGTGTGCAGGGCAGGCTCACCTCCATCCATGTGAGGGCGGGCCCACAGTTGATCTTGTTGTCAGCAATTGCCGAGAGCCGGGAGAGGTAAGCCAACAACATCTGGGAAACTGACTAACAGGGCAGACAATACACAAACAGGTTAGAGTCATTACATTGATTTCAGATGGCAAAAGGGTTCAAATCCCTGTGTTTCCCTCCCACAAACTCCCCCCCCCCTCCCCTGCCTGAAACATGGACTCTTTTGTTTACTTATGTAACGTAGTGATTCTATTGGCTAGCGATCAAACACATTGTATGCAATAAGCTGAGGGGGGGGGAAAAATTTTTTGACCCATCTCTAAGCGGTTGACCAAGGGTGAAAAGAGGTGCAGCAGCACAGGCAGTAAGAGAAAAAACCTCTTTAAACATTTAAGCAAATATGAACCTGAAAATGAGCATAATGTGTCCTCTTTAATAACTACCATAACAAGTCTTATTTTAGTCAGTTTATTGAACATGTCAGAAACAAAAACATACAACGATAATATATATATACTCTTTTTTTTCCCTTTTTCTTTCTCACTCAAATTAATAATTATAACAAAGTACAAAAAATAATAATAATAACAAAAACAAAAAACAAACAATAATAATTCTCAAATAGTCTCTGTCATGTTCAACAGGGGCAAGAAGAAGCTTAAAAAAACTTTTCTGGTCCTACCCACTCTAGCATATGTTTTTCTTATAAATAAAATATTAGGTCATCGTCATCAGCGACATGTTTCTCTTGTTAATTTGTTTGCTTTTTGACAAAACAATCAGAAAGAAATTACTTTTAAAATTACAACAAATAACAACAAATGGGATTTTACAGGTCAACCAGGTCTTGTAGTTTTAGTGTTTTTAGTTTGATGAACAATTTATTTGTTGGTTCTCTGTACGTAGTTTTATGTATAACTCGTATGGCTCTTTTTTGCAGGATGAAGATAGGATGTGTATTTGTTTTATATGTGTTCCCCCAAACTTCCACACAATACATCATGTATGGAAGTATGAAGGAGCAGTACAGCATAAACAAGGAAGCTATTGTGTGGAAGTTTGGGGGAACACATATAAAACAAATACACATCCTATCNGTGACAAACATGGAGGGTGACAGGAAAGACAATGCACCAAAGACAAGACTAAATACACAGAAGGGTAATCACAGGACAAGACACAGCTGGGCAGGGGTGGCAGAAACACAAGGGCAACAGGTGAACACAATCAGACACAGGAGGGCAAACACTGGAAGGAAGACAAGACACAGGGAGAACATAATTTAAAAATAAAACCATGACTAGACAGACAAAAACTAAAATCATGACACTTGTCGGCATAGGTGTCCAAGCATTCTTTTTGGCACTAAAAATGTTAATTCTACATACATCTTCGTAATGCATTCATACATCTACTTCTACCGTGTATTACAATGCCGTTTTGTGATGATTTCCAAAGAGAAAAGCAAGCACACTCGGAATAAAATTATTATTTTCTTTAAAAAATAAAAACGATTTTCGGATTTCATATCGCATTAACACCATATCCCAACGTGCATTGGGGCTAAACAATCCAATCACCAAGCTTAAACCACAGCTGAGGATCTTGGGTAATCAGTTCAGTGGGTGTGTATCATGGTGTGTATCGCAATGATGCTCGAAATGTCCCTTATAGGCCTACGTCTGTTTCCGGTTATTTTATTTTGAAATTCAGTTCCTGACGGACGCCAAAAAAGCCAGAGATTATAGAATTAAATAAATAAATAAAAACAAGGATAATTGTGTGTTATTGTTGAGTAAATAACAGTGTGTTATTTAGAAAAGAATAACAAATTAGAAGGAAAAAAATACAGATTTCAGTATTCTGAGGCTCTGAGCCCCATTTCTTTTCCTAACGGACGGCAAAAAAAGTCTGACATTATACGATTTAAAATAAAAACAATAATCGTGGCTTGATATTGAGTAAGAAAATGCTTTTATGAACCACACAGCTGCCGGTCTTCCAAGACCCGACTGGACAAAAAGACGTGGTGCAGACACGAAACATACTACCAATCTGTGAGACGCGAAAAAAAGGGGAAAATTGTGTTGGTGGACACAAACCAATAGATTAAATGTTGTGAGTATAACACGAAATGCCGTGAGACTGGGTTGCTCATATGGGTGTTGAGAGATGTATCCATAGATCTCTTAATTTTGCTGTGCTCTAGATTGATGTATTTAACTTCAATATTTAAAAAAATAATAATCTTCCCAGGGGAGCATGCCCCCGGACCCCCCTAGAGGATGTTAGGTCCATCCCCCAACTTAAAAAAAATACCACTTTACCCCTGCTTACACCTATATGCCGTGAGCTGATTATCGATCCTTCATTGTAACAGTCGCGGGTATACTGTGTATGTGCGTGTTGGGAGTGTTGCAGTAGAAAATTCCACTGTAGCGCCCAGAACCTTAATGGGAAACCCTAAATGTTTGAGCACCCTCTATGAAACCTCAAGCTACCCCAGAGCACCCTCAAAAGAAAATCTCTGGCGCCGCCACTGCTCTGAGCTAACGCTGTACTGGAGAGAGTATGTGTAAAGAAGCCGGATGTAAAAGGAACTCACCTCGTGGTAAACCCGAGAGAGAAAGATTTTAAGCTCCATACTGTTTCAGAAATAATCCTTGATTTGGTTTGGAACATAATATGGTGTTTAATCACGGCAGTATTTAGCTGAGTTTCTGCAGAACAGACACTCTTCTCTTCACAGAGCTCACTGCTTGCCTGCGTTCCAAAAGGGGCGTGGCTAAAGCAGCTTGGGTTACATTTGAAGCTACGGACCATGAATCAGCACCTTAGTAACAGGGCTGACAGAGGGGTATGAGGCATGGTTACAATGGGTGATCTGTTTGGTATTTTGAGCAAAACACTTCAGAGTAGTGTTGTCATGATACCAGCATTTTGGTTTCGATACCGATACCAAGTCAAGAATTGCGATTCCGATTCTTTTTCGATACTTTTCTTAAAAAAAGGGAAACAGTCTTAAATGTAATTATTGTGCTTTATTTCACACCAGAACCATATCCATAACAGAAACTTTTAAACAATGAGAACAATAAATAAAATAAATGTCAAGAATTCGTATTAAATAAAATTAAGCATCATCTCAAACAACTTTTTAGTTTTTCGCTTCTGGCGTCTTTTTTGTCAACAAGCCGAGGCGCAGCGGCAGTTTTAACACTCCCACTTGCAGCCATGCTTCTCGTCTTCTCACATGCTCTGGCAGCTAGCGCGTGCACGAGAGAGGGGAGGCACTTAGAGCGTGCTTGAGAGGGGAGGGACTTAGAGCTTGCTTGAGAGGGGAGGGACTGCAGGCACGGCTGCAGTGCAGGGAGTGTAAGCAGAGCGCTGAACACACACGGCTCTTAATAAAACGGCGCTTTCTCACCGGAGTACTTTATCCCGTCATTCTTAAAGTACCGATACTAATGAAACGGAGGAATCCTAACGTTTTTAACGGCAGGGTATCGCGGTACCTTTCAAGTATTGGTACACTGTGCAACACTAGACTGGAGTACATTTACCCGTATTTTTCCCGTTTAGTTCCGTTAGTGCCTGGAATGTTGCGTTCACACCAAAAAGAGTACTTAGTTCCGAGAACTTTTACCCCTATTTTTAGTGCCTGCTAGAGAGGTGGTACTATCCTGGGGAGAAAAAAGTACCAATTGCGATTGGCTGGAAGAATTCCAAACCACGCCCCGTAGAACTCTGAAAAGTGAATTTTTGTGAAGCCGCCATTGTATTTGCTGGCATTAGCATTATTAGCATTAGCATTAGCCCTGCGCACCAACGGAGAGAGACTTAATGGCTTACATTTATGGCAACACAAAACATGGGAGCAGTGGAGAGATGAGGAGGTGTCGGCGTTCTGGCGATTTTCTCGGAAGGCCCAACTCCGGGGACTTCCGGCCGGGAACTTCGGGTGGCAGTATACGCCGTGAAGTGGTTACCTGTGGTACCTGCCAGTAAACCCAAAGCAGAAGAAGAAGTGACGTCAGCGGCTTCATTTGCGTAATCTTCCCTCAGGGAACTTATTCCGGTGTGAACGCGATCCGTACTTAGTTCCATGGTGGTACTAATTGCTGGCACTAAGTGCTGGGCACTAAGTACGGCAAAGTACTTGGTGTGAAAGCGGCTATAGCAGCTTTGATGATATGACTTAAGGTACGGACACACAAACCCGATTATCAGCGTTGGTGGGCTTCAGGCCGACGATGAGCGTCGGCACGCCCTACTCGGATTGGTGTGTCCCACACCGTCGGGTCTTTTCGGCAGTCGTCCAAAGGCAGTCGGCGAAAGCAATCACTCTTATTGGCTGTTCAGCTAGCAAATCAGTGCATGAGAAGCGAAACGGAAGTGAGGGACCCAAACAAACTATTAAGAAGGCACATCTGAGATTTCATTGAACTATTGCTCTCGACACAGGTTCGGGAAAGCCCCATGAGCTTCTCGTTGTAGAGTGAAAATGGAACGCACACGCTATTTGTTGTTTGTTTAAATCACGCAGTCTGTTCTTCTTCTCTCGGTTATCATGCAGTCTGTCTTCCGGTTGTTGCCTCTTTTGAATGACGAATGCACACTACCGCCGCCTGCTGGTAAGGAGAGTTATTGCCACTCACGCATGCGCAGTTCGTACGTGCTTCTTGGCCATCGGCTGAAGTCTTTGCGGTGTGTTCCAGTGCAACATATGGCCAAGACGCAGAGACGCGAGGCGACGCAACAGTCGGGGTCCGTCTTTGTCAGTTATTTGTTGTCAGATTGGTGTTTCCGGGCCTTAAGACAAGACAAGGTAAAGTAAAGTACTATTAGAATGAAGCAACCAAAACTGCTAATGCAATAAAAGGGCAAAGTTATTACACAAAGACAAGGGCTTACTCACAGCAGAATCACAGTTCAGACAGCGACAGTTCGATTTCAGTCTTTCAGTTCCCTCATTCGGTATCTCTTTCATCACACCAGTGCCATGATATTATCTGGAGGATACTATTGGCGGTTCTAGAAGTGGCAAATATCCATGTGTGTTCAGTCCAGCACAGAAACATGGTATGTT